TTGTTTTTTCCTAACTCATTGCATGTATAATTTCTTTTCTTGAGATATAATAGAAATTATTGTTTCTTTTAGATACATCTTAATCGTTTGTTACAATTTGTCTTTTGATCTGTAGAGAGATGATATTTTAGCACTTATTATTTCCAATTCGGGAGTTTCACAGCCCATGGCAAAGCGTGTACCTTCTGATGTGAGCAGAGATATTGCAGCAGACATAAGACATCATATGGCTACTGTACTTAAACAGAAGAAAGGAGATTTTTCTTGCTATTTTGTCACAGAGTTTGTGACATTTGCACTTCCAGCAGGTATGGATTCATTTTAGCTTACTTACACATCTTATTGAAATGCAGTTAAAAAGTGTCTGAAGAAAAGTATGGCATTATTAAATGAAGTCTGAAAACTGTTAGATAAAAATATCTATTCTTGGTATGAAAATCAGATTAAATCAATAAAGGTTTTATAAATTTACAGACAAATCCGTTGTAGAAGCATTTATTAAGAATTATTTTTATATATATATACACAAAATATTTGTAATGTTTACTAAAAAATTGCCTAATTTCCTGAAGATACATTAAATAAATGCAGAATTATAATAAACATTACTATTTATAGCTTTTCCAACTTTTTGTACTCGAACCATACAACATATTGGACTTGTACTTGAACTATACAACATATTGGACTTGTACTTGAACCATACAACATATTGGACTTGTACTCGAACCATACAACATATTGGACTTGTACTTGAACTATACAACATATTGGACTTGTACTCGAACCATACAACATATTGGACTTGTACTCGAACCATACAACATATTGGACTTTGTACTTGAACATACAACATATTGGACTTGTACTCGAACCATACAACATATTGGACTTGTACTTGAACCATACAACATATTGGACTTGTACTTGAACCATACAACATATTGGACTTCTACTCAAACCATACAACATGTTGGACTTCTACTCAAACCATGCTACATATTGGACAATAAAGATATTAGCTAGAACTTTTTTCCCTCATATTTTGAAGTTAATATTAAAAGTTTTAATCTAACATTTGAGTTTTCTTTTTTCCAGAAATAGAAGATTTTTCTACTTCAGTACAACAAAGGGTATTTGATGAACTACTGGATAGAGATGTTCAAAAAGGTATGGTTTCTGATGGTGAGTGTTAAAGACAAGTGATAAATACATCATCCTGTGTTGTTGGTAATGGTTAAAAAGAACTGTAGTTACGTGAATCTCCATTGTTTTCTATTTCTTATTACAAAAATAAGAGTAACTACATATAATCTGTTGATGAGTGTAGGAAAATCATGAAAAAAGCGAGCAATATGCATATGATTCTATGTTATTTTCTATTGTAATAATAATATAAAAAAAAACTATTATAATAAACTGTAAACACATGAGAAATTGGAGACAAACAGTCTGATTATGGGCTTAGAGCAATTACAAGAGACAGTGAACATGAAATGCTTTAAAAATTGAAGTATAGTTTGTGCTATATTTATGTTCCAGAAGCATATTATTTGATGCTGTCTTAGCCTTCCATTTTTTGTGTGTACATGTTGGACGTAAAAGCCATTCTATATTTTCACTCATTGAGTACTTCAAATACGCATATTTTAGTTGTGTTTCCCTGCCAAATATCTTGTCTTTAACAGAACTTGAAGAAGAATCACCCATCATTAATTGGAGTCTAGAGCTAACAGAACGACTTGGTTCAAGATTATATGCCCTGTGGAATCGTAGTGCAGGTGATTGTCTCTTGGATTCAGCTCTGCAAGCCACCTGGGGAGTTTTTGATCAAGATAACTCTTTACGTCGAGCTTTAGGAGATAGCCTATGCGAAGCTGCTCCAGTGTAAGTGTTAAAAATATGCAGTAAAAGTATTAAATCTCTTACTTTGAAGGTTAGGAGTAAATCTTCAATATGCATTATTTAATCTGTTTATTGTACAGTTTAATATTGACATGACCTAAACTTTACCTAACAAAACATTAAATATAACAGTGAAGGTTATGAATAATGCACAAATTGTAGTTTCTTTAGGTGAACATATAGAAGATTTTTCAATGTTTCTGTGAAGTTGAATTGTATAACAATCCTCTAATACGGAGATCTTAAAAGTCGAGTTGTTCAAAACTTGAAAATAGCGTTGATAACTGGACCAATTGTTGGTTGAGATGTTGAAAAGGAAATATCTACTGAAGCTTTTCGTCAGACACTAATCATAGCAGAACCATCTAGAAAATGATCTATAGGAAATAGTATAGCTTATAAAATGAGTCAGATCAACGTAGGTCGGTAAAGCAATCACTGATTGGTGTGTTCTTTAGCCAATCAGGAAATGTCACAGACCTAC